CCGGGGGCCTGCCATGGCCTCTGGCCAGATCACAGTCTCTGGACTGGGCCTTGCTTCATGGACCAGCAGCATGAGTCACGAGGGTCTCCCTGGACCCACACACTGGCCTCTCCCTGCACCTCAGACACTGCACCCGCAGCTGGACCCCTGCAGACAGCACCAGCTTGATGGCCCCATGGACTCTGGGCTCGATCCAGATGGGGGAGGGGTAGCAGTCCTGCCTGCCTGGCTGGTGGCCTGTCTACCCCTCAGCATCCTTGGCAAGGGGCACCTTTCTCCCTCGCACTCCCAGGAGGACCAAGGCCACTAGGTTGGAACTCTCTGCTGTCCCTCCTCAGGAGGCCCCTGTGAGGGTCTCTCAGCATCCTGGAGCCTATTCAGTGCTCTGGACCTAGAAGCCCTGAGAGAAGAGAAGAGAAGGATGGAAACCTAAGGCCCATGAGGGCTCCTACTCCTACTTCCTCTGCTCTCCCCTCTCCCTCTCCCCTGCCCTCTTGCCTAGGCCCTCCCTTTTGCCTCTGTCCCATGTCTAGACTTGGGTCTATAAGTAGGCCCCACTCCCCCAGCCGTGCCCCCGGGAACAGGCAGAATAAAGAGGTTGCCCATCTGGGGTCCCAAGTTTTAGGACTCCCTTCTCTTCTTCCTCTTCATCCTCCTTAAAGGGAGCAGGTGAGCCTTGAGCCGCCGGAATGCGACATTTGAAGGACCGGCGCAGGCCTCTCCCCCGCCCAAATACCTGGCAAAACAAACCCCAAACCAATGGCTTTTCTGAATTAGACTCACTGCGATGATGCTCAATTTTTAAACTGTGATAATGGTATTGTGGTTATACTTAAGCAACAGTTAGAGCATCCTTATCTCTTCTAGATACATACTAAAGCCTTTACAGATCAAATTATGTCTGTGATTCCCCTTAAATTAATCCAGCGGGGGAGGGGAAAGATTGGCCATATGCTGATCATTGCTAAAGCTGGGTGATCACACTCTGCTTTGTCTGGACTTGGCTTATTATCTCTTTTAATAGAAATGTTGTGCACGCACACGCATGTACGCACGTACACACACACACACACACACACACACACGCTCACCACTGAATCCTTTAGAGTACCAGCTCCAAGGACCAATCAAAGCTGCTTCTAAAACAATTATGGGACCCTGAGGTCTCTGCACCAGAGGCGAACGGGTCTGGCTCCCTCCTGCAGCTGGAAGGCTCTCCTCCCGTGGATGTCAGAATCGCAGCTGCTCTGGTTTCAAGGCTCTAGGACTCACAGTGGCAGCTTCGCAGTTCTGAGGCCTTCTCATCTGGACTGGGTCTCCAGCTTGCAGATGGCATGTTGTGGGATTTCTGAACTTTCATAATCACATGGGACATTCCCCTGATAAGTCCCCCCATCCAGATCCCTATCTACACATAATACATGCATGTATGCACATGTGTGTGGAGGTGGATGTGCACATCCTAGTCTCTCTCCGGAGGACCCTGGCTGAGACCTTGCCTCTGCACGCTTTTCTGCATGGGTGCCGTCGGTGGCACCTGGAGCAATGACTGCATCTTCGCTGTTCCCACTCACGTCCCTGTCAGTTACAGCCACTTCCTCGCTCCATTCACCCTCACAATGGCTC